CAGATGCTGCAACATAAGTGCCCAGATACGATGATGATGGGCTCAGCAGATGAGCGGAGTTGAGGTGTGTTGTAGTTTAAGGCAGCAGAAAAGCATCAAGAAGCAAGGGGGAAAGGGGAATAGCCAAAAAGGGCAGAAAACACCTTATTGCACTGAAAGCAGTCTAGCAATAGGCTCTTGGGCTGAGTAAAGTCATATCAGTTCACTGGATAGTGAGGGAATAAATAGGTATTTTGCAGTATCTGCTGAAGTGTTACAGGAGTTCTGAATCAGCAGAGGCCAGTCAAAAGCAAACCACTGCGTACAGTTGTCTGCTTTGCATGAAGACTGCACAGAGGGTGCTGCAGCCCCGTGGTGTTGAACCTGTGCTTCTGCCATCCACCCTCTGTGTCTCAGGCACAGGTTGCTGTGGTGTTTGCAGTTGTGGCCTGCAATAATGTGCGTGTGCAGTCCCCAGGTGTAGAGGAGCAAGTGGGTCTTCATGCACCTTCTTGAAAGGCCAACCCTATCCCTTGTGGGAACCACATGTAGGTAAGGTATCTGTGGGCAACCCCCGTCACCTCTTGCTTTCCCGTGATCGTAGCGTAAGAGTCTGTCTCCTGTCAGCATCCCAAAGCATCCCGGAAGATGGAAGCTGTGTGTCTTGTATCCTACCTCTTCGGACAGCCTCTTTTGTATTTCACTGTATATGTCCTTGGTTTACGCTGCCCGTCATTTGTAGTGCCAGTCTTCAGTCCCACAGAGAGGAGAAGATAACCCATGAAGCAAATTTTTCACAAATAGGCAGAATAACAAGCACTCTTTGCACTAGAAAGAGGAAGCCACAGTGTTTGCAGAGAACAACAACTTAATGAGCTGGGAAAAGAAAAAAAAAAAAAAAAAAACCACTGGGTGCAGACTTAGAAGGGTGGAAGTGTATGTTTAAAATTTAAAGAAATGTGTTTCATGTTCTGTGTTTTCAGTGGTCTAATATGAGTTAGAGTGTGCCATGGTTTTTTTCCTCAGATCAAAAAATGAAGGTGGCTGAATTCCTGATTCAGCAGATGTTTATCTGTGTCCTTAATCCTTGCGGTTGTATGATGATTTTTGTGATGATCTGAGAGATCATATGATGAGATTAGAACTGTTAAGAGCAAATGTTCAATTCTCCCATTTGTAGAGACAAGGTTGAAGAGAGGGCTCAAGGAATGGAAAGCTGATGAGAATCCAGAATTGGGGAGGGTGTGCTTGATTAGTTTGGGAACTGCTTTTTAATTGTTTTTCAATATTCTTAAATTCTTTTAAAAATTGAGAGTAGTTGGAGATGCTAGCAGTCTTATTCGTGCCTTTGCAGATTTTCAGATTTTTCGAGAGAGAATGAGAGGCAGAATCTTATGCTGGAATTTCGTGGAAATTTCTTGTTTTGTTTTATTAAACGTGCAGACTTTATGGTTTTGTTGACATTCTCATAAGCAGCAAGGGGGAAAATTTGTAATGTTGTTTTATTGGGGCATGGGTGTTACTGAAATAGAAATTTCTTTACATTGTCAGCATTGAGTTGCCTGGAAACTTCTTGAGGTTTGGGATTTTTGGGGGGTTTTTTTTGTTTGTTTGTTTGTTTGTTTTCTAGAGCACATAAAGAAGACCTGGTCAGTGACAAGAGTCCATGAAGGTCTGCTGGCCATGCAGGTACCCGCCCAGACTATATAAGCCAAACATTGACTTTGTCAAAGTTAGAAACTTCTTGTTGCAAAAGCTCCAGGAAAATTCTGTGTTGAGATGAGATGGACATAGTCAGGCAGACTAATTTGGTCTGAAAGAATGAGGTGAAGGAGAACTGTGTTGGTGTAGAAAGTATGCTCTTATTACTAAAACTTTATTTTGACCTTTGTGGAAATACTTATTTCACCTCCTGATAAAAGAATTTTGGATGATTGCTCCAGGTCAGGCATATAGCACTTGAAAAATTCATCAGTGATCTTGATTTGTTTTGACATGTGTTTTGGCCTACTACTGAGTTTTGTATTTCTGTTTCTTCTCGGTATTCGCTTGCAGTAATTTTGCTTATTGGTTTGAATCTTCACTGCCTTGGCAGTTGAATAGTGTTGCCCACAGGTCCCAGCGTTGTTCTTCACTCCTGCATAATAGGACTCTGAAAATAAAAATGAGACAATAATCATAAATAAGACTCTGATAATAAAAATGCCTTTCCAACTCTGTAATGAGTTGGGTTTGCTTGCTTTTCTCTTGTGTAATACTTTTATTTCATTCTGATTTTTATTAATTCTTAAGAAAGACCATTGTCAAAAATTACCACATTTATTTAGACTACTACAGTGCCTTTGGCTCCTGTCATTAGGATGGCTTAGCGAAGAATCTAACAGGAAAATAGGTCCCTTGACTTTGACAACAAAGTCTTTATGAAAACTTGATTCTCATAAACTAACTAATTTTCAGAGTTGTCCCAGGCAGTAGAGTGACCCAGCCCCTCAACCCATGTTCAAGGGTCAAGCAAAATGTCTGGGTTATACACTCTTGTCCCACATCAGAGAATAGGTCTACGTGGGGTTTTGGGGGCAGAATTTCCTCTGTCAACATTGTATGTCAGGGGCTTGGTAGCAGAATGACTTTTAATTAGCATATGTGGCAGTTGTTTAAATGTGTGTTTCTAGTGATGGTTGTGAAGAGCCACTAAACATATGGGGAGAATTCATGTGGGGGTTCAGATCAGAACTAATTCACTTAATTGAAAAATTAGGAATTGTCCCCCCGTTGAGTGGGTATGAGTTAAAGACAGTGCTCCAGCATGCACATTGCCTCTCCCAGGTTTTGTATAGCAAAGAGTCGAACAGATTTGCATTGCCATCTGTATTTCTTCTGAAACTGTTTGCCGAGTGGTATGTCCCATCCTAAAAATGGGGGTTGGTTTTGTTCCATTGTTTTTTTAATTGTTCTTAAATAAACTCTGGATCTAAAAAAACAGAAATGTGACCTGCCCAAGTGCATATACTAGCTTGGTTTGCATCGATATTTGGAAAAGCAAAGAAGGGAGTAGCAGAACTTATAGATAAACAGATGCCCAAAGCCATCTGCTCCTCTCCTCATGGTCATTAGACGTTCACAGTACAACATCATGAACTTGGAACAGCTCTCCTTTCCTTCAGGACTATGTTGGCAGGCTTTAAAGTGAGCACAAAATGAAGTGAAGACATCTTGTAGGCGGACAGAAACTTCCACTGATTTTTCACTCTGGTTCACGTAAACTCAGTACTTCTCAAAAAGCTTAGCAGTCATTAGCCTTGCTGCACAGCCGTTTTGGAGTGATACAGGGCTGCTGTCACAGATTGCAGCTGAGAAACTCGGGATCCTTCAGGGGCAGGATCACAATTTCCCAGGGCTGGCTTAACCCCGCAGACTGTGTATATCTGTGGTTGGACAGAGCCCGAAGAGACAATATAAAAACAATAAATTATTAATTTCTGGAAGACATATACCTTAATGAATAAGTAATAGGTTGCAGCATTTTCCCTTTCTTAGGAAAACAGGCGGGCTGTATTTGTTTTAATTTTCTTTCCACTGAGCATATTTCTCCTATTGCACTTTTTAAGTACCCTACGGTGCTGAAATTTAGGATTAATTTTACAGAAACTGAGGAAGTCATACCACTGCCATTCAGGCTGAGAGAGGAAGAGAGTAGGGATGTTTTCTGGGGAGGGCTTTTGGTGATTTTGGTAGTGAGCAGGGAGGGTTTGGAACAGCTGAGCGACTGCACAGCTCCTTCCAGTAGCATCTCCCAGGGAATATAGCAAAGGAGACCCCACTGTGTACCTGCAGAGACATAGGCACCTAGAGGTACAGTAATTCTCCCAGCATCATCCCTCTGGTTAACATAAAACTAAAGCATAGATAGCCTGCAAATTAAAGGAAGCCTGGGGAGGGATTTTAATCACAGGCCACCACCACTCTGCTGACACTGTCAGGGATCTAGCCCTTGACCTCTAGCAGGGTCCGAGCTGGGCAGTGCTAAGTCCTTTTGAAAGCCCGGCCAACAAGCACATTTGGAGATCGCCTCCTGTTTGAAATGATGGTTTCTCTGCAGTCCTGGCTGGATTTCAACCTGGATAACTCTGCTCCACCTGTTTAAAATCCCTCCCCCGTGTTTGACAGGGTATGGCATGGGCCCCTCCTGTTATGCGGTGCTGCAGTGGTCCCCTTCCAGTTTCATACCACCTGCTCGTAAATTGATTTGTAGATCATCTGTGCTCCTGTTTATTAATCGAGCTGGCTTCCTTGTAATTACTTCAAATGATCTAAATGCAAAAGCAGTAAGTGTGTGCACAGCCCCAGTGCTGTGCGGAGAGATAGCTTCTCTTGGTGTTTACCTGCACCTCCCAGCAGGTTGTCATTCCTCCATATTCCTTTTACCAGTGAGTTCATCCACATTAATCTGAATTGACCTGTTGGTCCCTGTGAGCATGTCCCTGTTGGTAGTGGTGTTAGAGAACAGCTGTCTGTGAGAAGGGGGATCTGGTGCTCAGCAAAGGTGTGCGATCCACTCAGGTCACAGGGTGGGAATCAGATCTGTTCTTCACATAGGCACAACAGGCAAGGTAGCACCTTTCCTTCCACTGGTGGCTTGCTAGAGGGTTTTACCACAGTGAGTTTATTTTGTGACCTCAAACTTCCACACAAAGTCTGCTCCCCTTCCCATTCATTCCTACTTTAACTTCATATTTTTTTTTTTTTTTCCCTCCCTCTTGGCGTGTCGTTATATTTTCATTAATGTATCAACAACAGGGCAGCTGCTGTTCTTTAGTCCCTGGTATTGTATTTTCCGTTCAGACCTTGGAATTGGGAGATCCTTGAAATCCATGGTTTTTATGTGACTTCTAAGCAGAATCAGATCCTTTACTTTTCCCCTTGCCTGCAAGTATTTCTCTCCAAGCTGTAAAATCAATGTTTGGGATACTTTTTATTCTTAAATCTGACTGCTGCTAACACTGTGTTTCTTTCATTAACAGATTAGCTTCATAGGAACCCTGTTGCTGACAGCCTGCCCTGTTGCACCCACGGCTCAGCGAGAAAACTCTGAGGAGAATCGGAGGGCAAAACACCTCTCGGAGACAGTCCATGGGGACTGTACCAGATCCTCTGAGATCTGCCAAGCTTTCCCTGGTCACAGCTTCTGCGGAGGAGGACCACCTGGGAGACCTGCAGTCTGCTAAGCACCAGCCTCAACGACGCAGCGGAGAGAGGGCCAGCAATGGCTTCCCGTGCGCGCCATCGGGCTCTGCTGGGCTTGGCTTGTTCGACCTGAAATGCCCGGCGGCTGCCAGCGCGCCGAGGTGTGACCAGTGCCGCGAGGACGATGCTAGCCAGCGGGAAGCCGTTCCTCCTGGGCTCGCTCGTGAAGCTGCGGAGGGGCGGCCTGCAGCCGTAGAGCCCGCTGGTGGCTCCCAGCCGGCGGGCAACCGGGGACCGGCAGCACCGGCCCCCGCTGCAGCAGGAGCCCCCTCGGCGGGGCGGGGGCCGGAGATGATGCCAGCCCCCCAGAGCTCCCGGCAGTTTGTGCAAGGCAGCCAGGCGAAAACGAGCTCCCTGAGCCAAACGGATGACTCTGCCCTGAAACCTCAGGGGACTGATGATCAGCCAGCACTTGAGGTGTTAAATTATTCTTCCCCAGGCGACCCTATCAGGGGTAATGAGTCCTGTGACCCTATCAGGGGTAATGAGTCCTGTTGTAGTTCTCAGGCAAACCTTCTGCAAAGAGGGGAAAAGGACAGGGAAGCAGAAAAGACTGGTTCTGCTGCGTGTCAGTCAGCTTCACCAGCGTCTCACACCAAAGCTGACCTGGGGAGAGACCCACAGACCAGTTTGGAGGCAAAAAGTGGGGCTGCAGACACAGCACAGTTGCATCCCACAGGCAAGACTGAAGTGGTGCAGAGCAGCGAGGCACCAGCCCAGTCTAGCCACGAGAGTCCGCATCCTGTACGCGACACAGATGCTGAGCCAGGGAGCCCAGGCCCCAGCCAGCTCTCCAAATTCCGAGAAACGAGTACAATGACGGTTCAGCCGGAGAGCAGCTCTTTAACTCAGGAAGCAGTAAGCAGGACATGTCGAGATGCTGAGGTTCAGGCCGTGGCTACCATGGAGAGCAGATCGGCCTCCACCAGTCCCAGCATCCTTGCTGCCTTCTTAAAAGGGAATCCTCCTGCAGAGGAGAAGGAAGAACTGCACGTAATTTACCAAGGAGGTATGGGGCTGAGCCACTCTGCACTTACTGACAGTCCATCCTCACAACAAAAGTCCCCACGTTCTCCTGGTATCACATCAAAATCGACTGTTGTTACGGCTGTGACTGCTTCAGCCCAAACCCAGCCTGTCAGACTTCCCGGGGTCCCACCTGACGTGGTGTCTCCAGCATCAGCAGATAATGCAAAACCCGTTCTCCCCATCTCCCCTGCAGCCGTTACCTCCCAAGGGACATCCGTGGGTAATGCTGAAACAATCAGTGCGGCCCGTGATGGCAAGGATGCTGCACGGCTGCCGATGGATGCTCTGGTTCCTCCAAAGCCCATCCCTGTTGAGCAGCTTGCAGTTGACTCCGTTAATCAAACTCCAGCACAGTCTGGGTCTGGCACTGGTGAACCAAGCACCACTTCAGCTGCTGCTGTCCCAGGAACTGAGAACAACGTGCAGGATCTTGTCCATGACACAGGAAGCAGCTGGTTCCCTGTACTCTGTAGCACAGGCAGTGAAGTCAAGCAGGAGGAGGTCACGGGCAGCTCTGAGCAAAAGATTGTGCAAAGTAAAGGTGTGAGTGAAGGAGAGACCGGTCCTAATCAAGCTGTGGTAAAACCAAAGGATGAGAACTTGGTGGTGCTTGATCCTAGCGGAGGAATGAATGTTACCAGTCAAGCTGCCACTGTCCGCGTAAAGGCATGCCTGGAGGATGCAGGTGCGAAGGAGGAGAGCAGAGGCCAGGGAGACACTGGACAGGCTCAGACAGCCGGCGGCCAGAGCCTGCAGGCAGGACTGGCACCCCAGTTGAGTGCAAGTTCTGCACGTCTCAGCCCTCCCTTGGAGGCGTCAGCAGCTCCCCAGCAGCAAGGCCTCCAGGCCAAGGAGTCCAGACATCAGCTTCACCCAGCAGCTCTTCCTGCTTCAGCTCCGGCCTTGCCAAACCTGGGGGAAAACAAGAAGCAGCCCACCCTGGCCATGGAGGCAAAAGTGCAGGTGAAGCAGTCCAAACACGTCAGGGATGTTGTTTGGGATGAGCAGGGCATGACGTGGGAAGTTTATGGTGCTTCCCTCGATCCAGAATCCCTGGGAATTGCCATCCAGAACCACTTACAGAGACAGATACGGGAACATGAGAAACTGATCCGGGCCCAGAACAGTCAGACCCGGAAATCCATTTCCTCGGATACATCCTCAAATAAAAAACTGAAAGGGAGGCAGCACAACGTGTTCCAGTCCATGCTGCAGAATTTTAGGCGTCCTAATTGCTGTGTCCGACCCGCTCCCTCTTCTGTGTTAGACTGACGTGGGTTGCAGGGGTGTGTAGATACCTGTGGTGGTAGAGAGAATCCCTCCCCTCAAGTCTCAAGTCCTGCTGTTCAGTTGTGTTACTGGGGTTGTGATGCAGCAACAGTGGAAAATTATTCCCCTTTGTTTTCTGAGTAGCCACGCGCTCCATCGCACTGTTATTCTTGCCACAGCTGGTGTATTTCCACATTATACCCCCACCCCCACTACTGTCAGATGAAAAGCTAGGCACTTAGCAAAAGCACAAATCTCGATTGCCACCTCGCTGCGGGAAGAGCAGCACCTTCGGATAAAGCGAGAAGCAGAGAGATTGTCAGAATTACTATGGGAAGTTATTTGTGTGCATTACGAGGTCTTACACAAAGGGATGAGCTGGGGGAAGCTGGGTGAGGTGAAACTGAGTTCCAACAACTGTAAAGACGGAACGCCAGACAACTTTCCTGGTGTGTAAGTTACCCACGCTGGGCAAATCTGTGAAAAAGCTGTAGACATTGATCACTGAGCAGTCTTGCTTCTGTCGATCCCGTTCTCATGTGAGCCCCAGAGAGCCAGGTCTTCCCCTCCCACTGAAGTGGAGAACCAGGCAAAGAGTCGGGATCAAGGCTGCAGGGATTATCTCTTCGGGAGAAGTCAAGTCAGTGGGGTTTTGATGGCTAGAAGGGGAGGTGAGAGAGGGATATATTCCGCGGGCTTTTTCTCCCCTGCATCGGCCACGCTTAAGGTGTGAGCAGGGGGCGCACACAGGGCAGGGCGAGGCACGAGGGAGCACCTCGGTGGATGTACCCGCACCCGACGGCACGGTGCCCGCGCTGGGGCCGCGGCGCTCCAGCCGAGCCTTTCACGAGCAGCGAGCCGCTCGGGCTCCTCAGCCGGCGTGGGTGGCCCCCGCTTCCAGCCCCCCGCAGCAACGAGCACCTCTCCTCTCTGTCACTCTTTAAAATATGTGGATCTTTTTTCTCTCTCTGGAGGTGCACAGTAATGTTTTCCCACCGGAGCAGGCTGTCCTGTGCATCTGGGTCCATGAGCCAACATGTCTAGTGAGTTACGCTGATTTTTTTCCTTTTACGTCCTTAGCCAACTCTACTTTTTTTTTTTTCTTTTTTGCACAGTATTTTGGTGCTTTTCTTGCAGCCTTTCATAAACCAAATACCTTTTATTTAGCCTGTGCGTATTTGTTTTACCTAATGCTCTCTATATTATAAACTATTATATTGTTAACTTGAATCATTTACTTTACAGAAGTACTGAAATCTTGAGACAATCTTTGCTGTATTTCTAATGTTAGAAAAGTTGTAGTAACTGCTAATAAAAGGTAGCTTAGTGACTGTTTCTCCAGAAGTGTGATACACAATAATGTCTCAAATGTATGTTGGTCACATTTCTCACCTTAATAATATTTTCCAACCTGGGAAATGTGTTTCCCACTAACTTTTTATTCTGTCCACTAGAGTTCATGATGGGAGGCTGGGGAACTCCTACAGTTTGTAGAAAATTTAGTTTTCAATCCTGCAAAGCACTGAGGATTTGGATATTGTAATCTTGCAGAGTACTAGAGTTAAATAGGGGTTATTTTTATTCCATTAAAGATTTTTAATGAATCATGATGATAATTTATTTCTGTCTCTAGTACCACTCACCTGACTTACTGTAGATCTTACTCTTACAACTTACTCTGTAAATCTTACAGGTTTACATAGCGTAAATGAGTATTAATATCTTTTTTTCCTTTTTTTTTTTTTTTTTTCCTGTGAAGCAGACCTGAGGTGGTCCCCTTTTATTTAGGAGGCCAGACTTTTTGAGTATATCAACTGCCAACCCTTCGAAGCAGCTGTTTTGGGGCAATTTTTCCCCAGCAGAAAGATAAAATACAGTATTTCAACCCAGTTCAATGATAGGTGTTGCCCCTAGGCAGAGTACTGAACTGACTGCTAGTTTTCCTCTGGTATATATTGGGGGGGCTTTATGGCACGTCCCTGTTGCATTCCTGTACATCATTTCAAGTCCTCTCCCACTTGATGCTGAACTGCTAATTCTGAAATACCACCTCTGTCTACCAGGAGGAAGGTCTCCTACCTTTTTTCTGTTAGTACTACTGTTTCCATCCCCCTGCTAGCAGTGTCCGAGATGTGCGTTTCATGTGAAATTTCGTGTGGGATTAATACTGGCAGTATCGCTAGGTCAGGTTAGTTGACAAGTTCGGTGTCTCTTCCCACGTTGTGTCCGTGTCAGCCCTGAAGAGGTTTCCCCGAGTTGACTGCAGTGTTTGCTGTGTCCTGTCCAGGTCCAAGGCTTTGCGGTGCTCCTTCGGCCCCCTCCCTCCCTCCCCAGCCTGTCTCCCTGCGAAACAGTGTCCCTTGGCTCAGCTTGCATCCCTCTCTCCACTGTCCCCCTCGCTGTAGTGTTGTGAGACAGCTTACTCTGAACTGTCCCTTTACAAATATGCTCAGTCTGAATATATAAATGGATTGTCATATTTTTTTCCAGGGGAGAATAAATGGCTGTCGCGCATTCACCAATTTCCATGAACTTTATCCTTTAGCTTAAGCTCCCCAAAATATTTCTAGCGTATGGGTATGAGTTGCTTTACTGAGAGGAAACTGGGCTTGGCAATGAACGTGCAGGGTGCTGGGCCAGCACTGGAATTAACTCTTCTTCATGAGGAGTGGGAGATCTCTCCAGGTTCCCTGCAGCTGCTTTCAGCTGTGAATCTCCACCAGTCGTTCCACCCACACCTCCCTCCCCACCCCAAACAACCTTTCTTCCAGGAAAATTTCATCAATACATACAAACCCCAAAACACTGGCGGGTAAGTTACTAAGTGGATGCATCTGAACAACTGCATGGGCATAACTGGAAAAAAACATAGTGGTCAGCAGAGCACTGTGCTTTTGTATTCTGGGAAAATATGAGTGTAAAGACAAATTTAGCGCTGCTTGGTGGGCACAGAAGTCCTGCAGGTGTGTGTTTGAAGCCAAGCAATAACATGCCAAAAAACAACACAAAAACGAGTCAATAATCACCAGCACATCTCATGGAAAATATTTTAGGTTTTCACTTTGCCTAGGGCAGACTGTAGGCAACCTGCTAGTTTAATACTGGTAATATATGCTTTCTCCTGCATACAGTGTCTAGATGATGATGTGAATCCTTGTACAGATGATGCATCTTTCACCAGCAGCGAAACAGAACCATGTTTTGGGTAGCAGTTAGCAAATATTATGCGTGCGGGTGGTCTTGTAGCAGCCAAGAAAGACTGTTCTTGGTGTCACGTTAGCGTTGAAAATGAAAGTGTGCCTGGAGTAGGGGTATGACAGAGGGTAGGGGGAGATGACCTGTGTGCCACCAGCCCACTCTTTTTTCTCTGACCAGTGACTCAGAATCACATTGCACTGGTGGAATGGTTAAGAACCAAGGAAACCCATTTGAGCTAATAAAAAGAGGGTTCAAAACAGAAAGCACTTTGTCATTCCCAAGAGTAAACCTGTATTTAAAAACAAAAAAAAAAAACAAAAAAAAAAAACAAAAAACAACATGAAACAAAGAGTAAAAGACCTGTGTTGCAGCCTAGCCAGTTGAAGTAACTCTTGAATTCAGTTTATTGCAAGATGAGAAAGTCTGGGGAACAAGCTAATCATCAGGAAACTTCCCTGTTGATTGCATCTTCTGGCCAGAACCATTAATAAAAGCAGTGAATGCAAATGGAAGAGTTACTTCTAGTTTCACTTCAGAAGCTTTCCACTAGGAAAGATGAGAATAAGCATGTTTCAATGTTGCCAATACAACGCCTGAGTTGAAGGAGAATCTTGTTGCGGGCAATTTGCAATATAGTCCCGGGTTTCTTGTGAGCCTGTGCCATCCACCACAGTCTGTGTGTGCTTGGTTGGTGCCTGCCACCTTTGTGTTGCCTTGGGCACAAGTGCTGAAGTCCTGCCTTGTTTCTGCTGACCTGATTTGCAAAAAAGAGTGGGGAAAGAGATGGAGGGACAGGGAAGAGAATATCTGTCTTCTCCATCTCAGAGAAAGAAAACCTTCTTTTGAATATACAAGAGGGAACTGCTGAGAAACATGGGGAGGGAGGGACCAAAAGAGACGTAAAACAAAGTTGATGTAGGTGCTTCACAAGGAATTCCTATTTCTGCAAGGCCAGTGTTTTGCTTAAGTTTTGCCCATTTGTTCATTCTGAGCTTACACATTTTGCATATTGTTGGTGTACCATGACTTTTGGGAAAATGAACATTTTCAAAGGCTGTATATTTTACTCATATGTATAGATACATCCAAATACAATTCAACAAAACCACTAGGCAAGCAACCTCAGTTTATTATTGCTACTATGATGTAAGAGCTTGTAAAATGCAGTTTGGAGAATTATATTCAAGGGATTCAGAAAAGGTGAACATATGCTCTAAAAATAATATTAGCTTTTATCTTGAATTTCATGACTATGTTGAAATATTAAAGTTAGCAGTGTTGAAGTTGATGGAAAATTCAAGTTGGCTGCCACTGGTTTTCAGTTTGGAAACTTGATGGAATTGTTTAGTGTTTCATTACTTAGTTCAGTGTATGCAACGTTTGTATGAAAGTACAAATTTTATTAGCTTATTGACTCCATTGTCTTTTTCTGTGTCTACCCTTCTACACCTTTTGAAAATTAATGCAAAAGGTTACCAAGACAGAGTCTTTCACACCCAGTTTATGGAAATGGCTGCTCTGAATGAGAGACAACTGATTGACAGGCTCTTTGGTCTTAGAAAGTTAAAGGCTATGTCCTGAAGGAATCTTTTTTTTTTTCTTTCCTTTCCTTTTCCCCCCAGCTTTTGTAACGTCTTAACCTCTGCCAGTTTATTTTTTGGTGACTCTGTGATGCCTGTGTGTGCGGTTAGTATTTTCAGTCATCCCAAAGATACACACATAGATTCTTATTCAAATGCTGCATACTACCAAGTATCTCTGGAGTCACTAGAAGCTGCAGTGGTTCGTGTGCCTGAAGGTCAGGTCCCATACACTGAAATGACTGCAGTATTTTCTTAGGGGCCTAAATTATCCCACTTGAGTCAGTGTAGATGTTTAAAAGAAAGAATGAACTATTACAGCTGGATTGAGCAAAACTGAAATCAATATAATCAGGTTTTTTTAAAACTTTGAGATTTATTGGCTATTTATGCTTTGTGCTTTTCTGAGCAGCTCTTCCTTCCTGGAGTTTATAATGTGGATGTTGCATCAAATCCTGGCAAGGCAGATTTTGCAGTGTGAAACATCTTTCACCATTCAGGCTTCTTTAAAGAAGAAAATGCTGTTATTACTGATCCCAGTCACACAGAGAGGAAATATTCTTTCCTCTAGGAAAACGTTTGCTGTAGGTAAGCTTGTGTGTGTGTGTGTCCATGTTTAAAAGGGGTGTCCATGTGTGCAGATGTCATGTATTACTCATTCTCTGAGACAATTTTTTCCCTCTGCCCTTCTGATTGAATGCTGGATGCTTATCATTTTCCACAATTTTGAGGCAAGTTTAGATCACTCTTCAATACAGAAACAAGGATTTTCTCCTTATCTGGTCTCAAAAAATTCCCACAACTGTATCTAAAAAAACTACCAGTTGGCCAACCTCCATGTCTAGACTGTCAGCAGAAAGTGCAGTGGCTGGGGTGTACAGAGATGCACACTGGCTTCTGAGCTTTGTGGAAATCCACACTTTTATGTACAAACTGGTTTCTGCACAGAGACTATGGGTGATAGCAAGCATCTGGGCTCATTAGGAGCAGAATCACGTCAACCGAGTCCCATTTGAAATACTAGACCTTGAGTTTTTGTTAGCTTTCTGCTTAGACTGATGTTCTCTGGAATAGAAATAAATTACAATTCTGCCAGCAAAGTCTCCAGCAGTTGTCTGCTGCAGAATACAAGTCTCTCAGATGCTTCTCAGCAGCTCTGCTACAACAGGTAACCCTTCTGCTGGAGGGTCCTCCTGACAACACTTCCCTTAGCCGAATTCATAATCAGTAGTTTCAAGTGTGTCAAATGCAAGTTTAGACACTGCCCTGAGGAGTTTCAGTAAAATGGAAGAGAAAGCTCCATGCGTTCATGGTGCATAAAATCACATCTGAAGCCTGAAGTTAGGGGGTCAGTTGCACACTGAGAGCATTGGGAGTTTCTATCCAGAATTAAAGGGAGAGAGGGTAGGTGAGCTTTGAATTCCTGGCTGCTGCAAGCACCACAAAAATCACGGCCATGAATCAGTCAACAACAGAAGAAAACCAACTTGGGGGCTTCTAATGACAACTAATATTATTGTGGCTTTATTTTTATAGTTACACTGACTGAACATGATGTACTGTATGAAGTAAAGCTAGTATTAGGCTTCCAGGTGTACTGTGGCATTCATTCAAGACATACCAACAGAAGTTTGCATGTGAAGAAGTCTTACAGTGATAGGAATTTAATGTTTTGCTGTTTTCCATCTCCTGATTTCCATTCTGAGTACAATAAAATGAACACTGTCTTAATTATTTTGGGTCTCTGTTTGTAGGCTGACATGGGGAAAGAAAGGACTTTTAAGTGTGGTTGTTCTGGCTAAATCTGCGACTGTCTGTAAGACAGAGCAGCTACGAAGGGCTTTTTGAATTCAGGCTTGAGACCTGGCACCTTGCAAAGCTCAGTGCAGTGGAAGCCACCACGCGCTGTCCCTGCCAGAGAAGAGACCCATCTGCTTCCTTCCGTGTCAGTCCCAGTGCCTTTTCACAGCTGTTCGTGAGCACGGGCCTTTCTGCCAGACGCTACCCTGCCCTTTCGCATGAATTCACTCAACTTTTCAGCAGCCTTCCAGCCGTTGCCACACAGCAACCATGTTATTCATCCAGCTCAGCAACCCGGGAGCCGAGGTGGAGAAGGAAGCATTTTAACCCTGCGGTATCACTGCTGTAGCAAATTGTCACCACCATCCACCAGCATGCCTGCACACCACGCACAAAGCTGAGAGCATCAGCGTAACCTGAACCATTGTCCTCCTCGAAATAAAGTTTCATCTCATAGTACAAAAGAGCATAAGGTAACAGATGACAGCAGTGAAATACATTGATCCAGCCGTGTTACAGGTAAGGTATTTCAGTGTGCCTCTCTGCTACTAGAGGGTGTGAGGACCCCACCTCAACATACTCTTTCCTACGGTGAGGGGAGGGGAGCGGAACAGACCCTGAGATAATGTGGTTGCACGGTGCTTCTGCTCCCAGAGACCTTCTGGCTGCTCACCCCAAGCTGGAGCCCTCTTCCCCAAAATAATTGTTTCCTTAGCTGTGTTTCTATACTTCTTGAGTCTTGTGGTTGGCTGCTAGGGTTCAGGTTACTTCAACTTGGGCAGTTGCGCAGGGTATTTTATTAATGAGCTTTGCTGGATTCTTTGTCTTGTGGTTCAGGTTCCTGCAGGCTGGTGGCTGCCAAAGATGAGTCCCGAACCCAAACAGCCAGGGGTGGGGTGTTTCCCTACAGTAGCTGGGTTCATTCAGCTGTGTGACACAGTTGGCAGGCTCTCTTTGTAGGTAGGAAAACTGAGGTCTCCCTTTCCTACTTCATCCCTGTAGTCTTGCTGCAGTAGGGAAAAAGCCTAGAGATCCCCCACCCCCCGAGGGACTGATCCAGGAGAAAAAGGACCAGTGCAGAAAACAAGCTAGCATCCTATTAAACCAATAATCACCAGTGCACGTTTTTCACCTGAGGATGTGAGCTTTCCAAGCAGCACTACATCCTGGAGTATCTGCTTCACTTCTTTAACCAGCTAAAGCAACCACCATGCCTTTAGGGACTTTCACTGGTAGGTGGTAGGTGGCAGTATTGTGAGTGGAAAACTTACGATTTCCTTATCAAATTTCAAATTACTCCTTTGAGAACCATAAATGGCTAGTTTCACTAGCCAATGTTTTAAAAAGTAGGCACTTCAATCTGCAACTGAGTATTTAGATAAATATCTCCTCATTTGTGAGAGGTGTCAGGTGCTCTTAGATCCTGTTGTGGCTGGGTCATGGAGACCTGTGGATGCTTGATATCTCCACAAAGAAAGCCACTGTTAATGAGATACCTCTACACAGTGAGACAGTAGGTAACTCATAGTAGGCAACTCTGAGTAGTAATAACAGTCTGCATATCTGGACCAGAAACTTGTCAGTGCAAATTAGGAAATGGTAACATATGCCCCATCACTACTCGTATTTCAGTGGTGTTTGTAGGAGTGAGGGTACCACTGCTTGCATCACAGAGCACCCTGCTTCCTAAAGTGTTGTGCTTTGCACTTACAAGAGTCAAATTAAGTGGGATCAGCAGCCTGGGAGAGTGGGTGCCAGACTGCAAAGGAATTTGCCTTTGCTGTGCCATCTTAGCAATGAATTAACTTTAAAAAAAAAAAAAAAAAAAGTTTTCTAATCGTCTGCTGTGGACTGCAGCACAAGGAAAGGATTTGGGTCATTCATGCTGAGGTTCTGCCTTAATTCCATAATTCTAATTTATTTCTTTTCCTAATTATAAACTTGCTCATGGCAGTGCTTTTTCTCTAAATCCACTTCTATAACATCAGAAAGCCATAAGCGAGCTGAGCAGTTAAGGCTGTGTTTCTCCCGGGCTGGTGAAGAATACCCCAACGGCTAGAGCACAACCACACGGCACCCGCCTCTTCCTCGGCGCCTGTTAGAAAATGTCTGGTACGTAGGAATGGCTGCTGGGCTCTGCAAAGCCCCCGCATCCACGCTGAGCCGGGGACTGCTGGGCTGCGTCGCCTCGGGGTCGGGGAGGAGGAGAGAGGAGGTCTGCCCCGGAGCCAGCAGAGGTGAGGCCATCCACAAAGCTGCTCCTCCTGTGATTTGGGAGTGCCTCATGTTCATTCTTTCGCATCTGTGTCTCTTCCTTTTTTAAGGACGGTTACTGAGCTATTCATTAATGAGACAAATTTCTTAGGGTTAGTAGGTCTTTGGGTTGAGGGAGAAGCCTCTGAGGAGATACTGGCTCCGTGCACTGAGTTGCTCACCCTTCTGAAACACCTGGGCTCCCATTAGGTTTTGAATGCTTTGAGTGCCTGCTCTGTAGACAGATGGGTGAACAGGCTTCCCTATTTTTTCCTGGCTCCAGCAGAGAAGGAATGGTGAATAAATACAGCTGACACTTGCTCGGGTCATATCCAAATGTCTCCCCACATCCCATGTGACCATATCTTTATGTATACCAGCTATTGAAAGGAGAAGTGCTGGCTAAGAAAGCTGAGAGCTATAGAGCAGTTCAGGTGAGTCACTGTAATCGGATGAGTCCTACAAACTGAGGTAAATGCAAATGCAGTATATGCTCCAAATTGGGTTAATGATGTGAAATATTCTTTATGACAGGTTTATCTCCTTGCCTTTACTGACATGGCTCTGCATGCGTATGTATTTCTCTGCTGGGAAAGTTTTCCTGGTATTCACCCTAACTTCCCTGTCACAGAGCTTATGCTACAGCAGGCTATACCTCCTTCATCCACGCATCTTAAGCAGTGTTCTCCATCCTCCCAAACTCACCCACCTTTCCAGCTTGGCTCAGCTGATGTTGAAGGACTGTTTGGAAGCATGAAGGGGTTGGTCACTCACTCTCATCTGCTCTTCACTTTTTGGATGTTGCCATGAGCGATACTAGCAACTGTTTTGCAATTTTTCACATGAGTTCCTGTGCTTTGGGGACATATCCTGAGATCATCAAACTAAACGCAAACAACACAGCCAGTACATGGCTTCTGCTCCCTGGGGTGGATGTGGCTGAGTAGCCTCTGCCCCATCTGCCACTCATCTTTCACATCTTCCTCTGCCCTTGTGAAGCCAAAGTCAGGTTCTATTCCCCCGTGGCAACACAGGTGGAGCTCAAAGCAGTCATATTTTCCCCACTGGATATTTCCCTGAGATGGCACACTTCTCACAGGCACAGAGTTATGGTAACCATCTCATAATGTCCACTCCATTGCTTGCAGGGAGAAAATCTCTCCCATTTCTTTTGTACATTTTCTTTCTCACCTAGCTCACACATAGGCTGGAATAGCTACTGCAAACTAATTGATGGCACTGTAGAGAGAGCCTACAAAATTGAGGGCAGTCCCTAAATGGCCCTAATTTCTGCTGAAACGGAAGCAGGAGCTTTTGTAGAACCTGACCCTGACAAAAAGAGAGCTATATGGTATAGCTTATAGCTTTTTTTTTTGTGGCTACAGATGTGGAGGTTGTGTCCAGCTTAAGCATGGCCGGTCCTTTCTGTCTCCGGTGCAGGTTAAAAAACAAAAAGAAAAAACTACGTTGAAGCCTCCCTCTACAGTGACACACTTCTCTCTTTTAGTTGTCCAAACACATGTAGTGGCACAATGTACGCATTGCTCTTTCCTAGCAATCTGCTCTGATTACACACTTTTTTATCATTTCAAGGCATCCAATACCAGCTCCAGAAGAGCTTTCACACTTCTTTAACTTGTTTGGCAAGTTTTACTTCAGTAAATTATTTGGGCCTTTCAGTGCTGTGGCTTATTTCCTTAAAAGATCATATGCCTAAACAAAACCAAAACCCCCACCTCCATTTCCAGATGCTAGGAGGAAAAGGAGGTTTGCTTTCAGTGTCCCTGTCAGAGAATGCAGCATGTGCAACAAACAAGTGCAACTGGGAAGAACACAGCACAGAGCTTTGCTTTGATAGTAAAGAGAAAGTTCTGTAGGGGAAGGGATGGGCTGGTTTAAATGCTCCTTTTCCTGGGATGCTGTCCTGGGTTTGAGTGAGTGGTGGGGTTTTTTAGTAGCAGGGGATGGTTGTTTTGATGTTCTTAGGTAGCTCGATTTTTGCGTACATGAGCCATCTACAAGCCTCTCACATGGGGCCACCCCTATAGACCCCTCCCCTGCTACCAAAACCCCCTACCACTCACTCAAACCCAGGACAGATACTCCACACCTTTCCAGGTGAATGAATTATATTTTGCAAAGGCATGTCAGCACTGTTAAAACAGTTCAGTTTGGCTTTCAAGAACCAAATGATTGACATGTTTTCGAAAGTGCTGCAATGTGGATGAAAATGAGCAGTTGCTCATTAAAAGAAAAATACCTGTTTGGATGAAAAATCTCTGAGTAACTTTTCTCTAAGACCGGTTTCTAACCAGTGGTGTTGGCAGGTTGGACCTTGCCAGGGAGGACAGTGAGAAAGGAGGCTCCTATCTCTCCCCACCTTTTCAAACACCAGGTGTATTGGTGGTGTGGGTTAAGTTCAGGAGGCAGTAGAGGCTCTGCTGGGTGGGAGGAGGAGGGCAGGAGCTCAAGTGCATTCCCTTCCTTAAGTCCAATGAAAAGAGGGAGATGGGAGGCAAGAGCCTAAAGGCTGGTGATAAAAATACAGTGAGTTGCAGTAGAGACCTAAGTATAAGAGCAGGCAAGAGTCTCTCTTAAGAGAGATGGAGAAAGCCTCAGGTGATGGCATGAGAAGACTCTTCATCCTGCAGGACAGCTGAGGGAATCAGGGGAGCTGC